AACCCCACCTCTCCAAGCTGCTGTCCTCGCTTCTGGCTCCGGCTCCGGCTCCGGCCAGGGCCAGGGCCCAGGGAGCCCCGAGAGCTGCTGGAGCCCCTTGAAGAGTTGCTGCCGGCTGTGGAGCAGCTGCTGGTGCCCTGACCCCGGGACAGGAAGCTTGGTCTGCTGTACGGGAGCCAGGCCTCTTCTGCAGCACAGAGAAAGGCAGCTGGGCCCAGGGAGAGCACCTCTGCCATGCCTCACCCTGCCCTGCAGGCCGCCCCGCGCTCCACCTGGGGGCCAGCAATGGAGGGCCCGCAGTCTCCCAGCACAGAGGGCCTCAGGAGAGGGGTAGTGCACCCAGGCCCATACTTCTCTTGCTGAACTTCGGTCCTGGGACTTCTGGGGACTCTCTCAGAGCTGGGAGACCGGAGCCTTTGGGGCCCACTCAATGCATGATGCACAAGGGAGGGCGGGGCTAGCGCTGTCAGTACCACCCTCCAGGCCCAGGGTCCCTCACATAAGCACCCGCCCTCCCCAGCACTCCTTACTGTCAGCAAGAAGCCCCTGCTGGGCGTCCAGGGCCGCTGCCCCCACCACTCTCCTCTGCCCCCTGCGCTCCCGCTCCAAGGAGGACACACTGCTGCTGCCAGCGGTTCTCAGCCCGAGGGCCCAGCTGCCCCCTTCCTCTGGTGGTGGCAGGGGTGGTGGAGGCAAGTCTGGGGAGAGATCTGCTTTCAGCAGTCTCCCACCCACCTCCACACCCTAGCCCAGGGGGCTGCAGATGGAACCTCAGATGGCGTCTACTGCCCCCGATGTGGGCCTCCCTCACGTCTCCCACCTGCTCCCAGTGACTGTCTCACAGGCCCACGGCCCCTCACCGCCAGGACTGTGCGCCCGCCTGGAGGGCGCATTCTTGGATTTCTTCCGGCCTCGGGCACGGGGTCCTTGAAGTGGGGATACCGTCTCACCAGGCACCTGTCGGGCTCCTGCAGCAGAGGGCACAGGAAGGGGGTGGTTTGGGAGAGGACCAGGAAGGGGCCTGGGCGCAGAGGGCACAGAGGAGGGTGCAGGGGCAGGCCGGGGGTCCCACAGGCTCACCTGGAGTACTGCTGGCTATGCCAGAGCTGGGGCCGGGGCTGAGGTGAGGGCCAGCCATGGGGCCAGCACCCAGGCCAGCAGGCCTCCCATCATGGCTACTCAGTGCAGGCTGCGACACACCGAGTGGAGAGCTTGGCCCAAGGGGCACCCTCCTGCAATGACACGAGGCTCCTGTCTTCACCCACTCCACAAAAGCTGTGCCACTATGTGCCAGGCGCTGCCAGATACAGCCCGACACCCTGCTGAGCAAGACACAGCCCGGCTGCCCCAGACCTTCTGACCAGGGAAACCTCGGAAGCCTCTGGGGAGAATGGCCTGTCCACACCCCCACTCTCCAGCCCTGACACGACCTGGAACCTCTGCACACAGACCCCGCCCACCAGGCACCCTCCGTGCAGGTGTGGACAGCGGGGCTGTCCAGTGCCTACCTGGGGGTCTGGTGT